AAAAAAACTACAGGGGGGGGGGTCAAATTGACCCCCCCCAGCGTATCCTGGTTTTCAAGTACCCCAGCGGGGATAGGGTTAAGGAACGAATTACTCGCCTCAAAACATAAATTTTTATCCTTTTTCATCTTTGAATAGGATTGCATGGATTGCAAGGATAGAGTTTCTTGCTTCTTTGTGTACTGGCTTCTCAGCTGAGCCGGAAATTTAAGAGAATAACATTGAACAAGTTTCCTTCTAGGGGTCTATGCAATTGTGTAGATTTTGATTTAAGAAATTAAAAATCTAAAAAAGAATATAAAGAAACCAAATAAGATAATATTTCGTAAGAAAAATATTGGTTTTTACAAAACCGTCAAACCTCATTCATGACTGCATGGCTTTCATGACTTAAGTTACGGGCTCCGAGCTTCCAAAATATTTGACCCTTTTGGTGCTTTTTCACATTTTTTGGTACAAGAGTTTAGTCTAATTCAAAATTTGTAGATTTTATGAAAAGTTTGAATAAACAGTAAAATAAGCATTTCTAGGCAGGCTACATATACTGTTTATTTAGTTTCCTTACGAGGGGGGGAATATCTTAGATAGATAGATACTTAGATATATAGTTGAATAGATAGATATGTAATATATATCGGGTCACATGATATTCTGTAAACCCGCAGTACATTGTACATTATTAACTATCTATTCTGTAGCAAATACAACTATCCACATATTTATTAACCTGAACATACTTAGATATATTAAACATGAACTACGTAATATGATTAAAACATTCATTGGGATTAGATTATCTACGATCTATCCATGTTTATCCTTTAAATATGTACATTCAACTTAAACTACGCTGTAGACATGTGTGGAGATAGCTTAACTACGTTATATCTGTCCCGGTTGTACCTGGACTGATAACAGTATCGGAAGAAATTTTAAGAGCGCGGAATTTACTACAGATATTTAGATAAATAGATAGATAGATAGAAGGTTGGATATATATATATATAGTTGGATAGAGATTAAGATTTAGATAGTTAGATAGATAGATCGATTGATTGATTGATTTATTATATTTTTTGCCTTTGCTCTTATGCATTTTTGAATGCTTTACTTGTTTTAAATTGCCGTTCAAGTGTCTTAACATATTTTTTAAACTTGAATTGAAATTGAAACGTTTTAGAAGAAACATTCGAAAACGACCTAAAACTTTCCAAAATAAATAATCCTCAAATAAATAAATTGATAATCGAAGTGTGCCAAAGGTAAAGTGAAGGGGGAGAGTTAGAGTAAGGTAAACAAATGTTTAAAGAAGAGGTGTTAGAAAGATAACATAAATAGATAGATAGTTAAAATAATAAAAAAGAGGAGAAATCATTTTCACGAAAATTCAAATTCTTATTTTAACCGTAATACAAATGGCTTACAATGAGAACCAAAAGATATCGTCGATTTCTTTTTTCTGTTAATTGTAAAATTTAGCTAAATATTTTGTAATTTACGATTAATTACACAAGACATATTTACATAGAGATATTTTAGTTGCAGCCACTAAAAAAAACATATTCCTTGGTAAATTTTTTTTTGTATAAGACAGAACAGAGACGACATTCATTCTATATTTTTCTGGTTCTCACTGTGTACTAATAAAAAAAGAGTTAACGATTGTTTGCCTGGATAAATCTAGGCCAATAAAAATTCCATGCACTGCCTGGACTGCCAAACCAAAGATAAAAATCAAAGCTTAACTTCCATTTTAGTATATATTATTCAGATATTTTATTCTGTGTAAGACAGATTTTTGGCGGATCACTTTGGTAGAAAAAAAGTTACAAATTGCCTTATTCTCGAATTTTTATATCTGTGGAACCTGTCAACCTTTAATATTTCAAGAAATAAAATTAAAAAGATCGGAATTAGTCATAATTTGAAATATCAATATTGGGAAATGAAAACTAAATTTTGTTGGAAGCAACCAGTTCATCTTTTTTATTAATGCTACTTTGTCTTTCTCATAAGCGAGGGGGGGGGGGGGTATTATAAATTTAAAAATTTCAATATACATTTTCATTTCTTTATTTTTTAGATTGACGGAGACACTATGTGGAGTAAGGTACAAGCCCAGGAAAAATTTCGTCAGAGCCGCGGAACCATTCGTCTTCTCGTTGTTCGTCCCCCTAGCACTGCAGTCCGTTCATCTAGCTGCTCGTCCTTCCAAAGAAAGGACGAGTATGAGCAGGATTTAGATTTGCTCTTGGAGCAAAAACTTCGGAGCCTGGACAGCGGTAATTCGTCCCTGGAGAGCGGAGACAGATCTTATGACAGCGACAAGAAACTCGAAATATCAGATCGGTCTTTCGACAGCGAAAAGTCGAAAAATCGTCTGTCATCGACAAGTTCGAAGGACAGCGGGCACAAAAGTGACTCGATAGATCGAAGCACAACTAACTCCTCGAAATCTGATTCGTCTCAACTATCAGAGTTGAGTGATCCTTTAAACCAATCCTTCCTTGGACTGAAACACAGCCAATCTATGTTCTCCATTGATGACGATTTCATCTTTGTCAATTCGAAGAAAAATTTCGATCTTAATCGAAATTCGATCGCAAAGCCTAGTTTTTCCACAGAGATGAATAGAAAGGGAAAGATTGATCCAATTTATGAAATGATACCGGAGCAATCCGAGACTGATGAAACCTACTGTCTTCCCCTGGATAATGTGAACAAGAGCAACAAGAACAGTCTGATATCAAACAAGAACACCAAGAACGGATTGATGATGAACAAGAACTGTTCCCCTGAACACACGGCAGGAAAGACAAGATCAAAGTCGAGCGACAAGATTAGAGATATTCTTAGACCCAAGCCTGGAGATAAACCAATCCCGCGCTCGGTTAGTCTCAATAAATATGAAAACCGGTTTAATGCTGATCAGCAACAGCAGCAGGAACAGATGAAACAAGAGCAGGAGGTGAAGAAACAGGAGGAAATTGAAAACTGGATCAAGTCTTATTGCAGAAAATCCTCAGAAGCCAGGTATTGTACATTTCACATTAAAAGGAGTGTTCGCAAAAATGAAAGGGGGTACAGGCTAACGTCAAATCGAATTCGATGGTGATCGCTACTAATCTTACCCGGATATAATATTCACCTACCTAAATTATACGCTTTCAGGTTTATTACAGTAATTAAGGTAGGTGAAGAACATATTATACAGGGTGTCCCAAAAAACATGGGAATTCAGTGACGAATTCGATATCGTCTTTTCAAATAATTCTTTGATTTAGTGTAGTGATACCTACTGAGAAAGCTGTAATCTGTAAGAGTTTTGTCTGCTATGTTTACATTTTGTTTGTTTATGTTTTGACTGCATACAGTTGTACTTAGTAAAACAAGAAAATTGCAGTATACAAACAGAGTAAACTTGTCTTTCTTCACTGTTCATCTTGCGGAGACATTATAGACACATCTTTTACCCTTTTCATAAAATAAGCTCTAGCAGACATAATAATATTATGGCTTTTGAAATTAGGTATTACAATGCTAATTCATAACAAAGACGATATCAAATTCGTCACTGAATTGGGACACCCTGTATTTGGGTGGGGGGTAATCTATCTATCTATCTATCTATCTATCTATCTATCTATCTATCTATCTATCTATCTATATATCTATCTATCTATCTATCCATGATGTTGATGTTATATATCCAGGCTACAAGCCCCATGGTTTGTTAAAAATTACTCCCAGTAGTAAACCTATTAAATTAATCCGTTCTCTTATATTTGAAGAACGTGATAACAGACACACAGTTCACGGGCACAAACAGGGCGTCCCAATAAAAATACTCTTCTCTAAACCCTAACTGTTTCTTCGGTCAGAGAACTGCAGCAGATCATTGCAGTTCGCACCGAAAGCTTTGTTGAGGATAAACATGATAATTTTTTCTAAACGAAAGTAAAAGAAAAGATTGGCCTTTAACTATTTTACACTTTTTTGTGCAAGCCTTAAAATAATTCAAATTCAGGAAAATCGTGAAAGGATAATATATTAAAGTCATGTTTAGCGTAACACGCTATAATTGTATAACTGTAGAGGTCAATAATTTTTCCATAACTGCATAAAGAAAAATTGCAAACATAAATTTTCATCTTTAAATTAAAATAAAGTTTTTTGTTTAATAAGTCAAGATCCCTTGAATATTTTTTTTTATTTGCAGATCAAAGTTCTTTTGTTAAAGAGAAAATGTACATATATTACTTTTGTGTAATTCTAAACGAAAAAAAACACATAAAATGCAATGTTCGAATTCGTGAATATGAATAAGAATCAGAACAGAAAAAGAGAAAAAAAAGAAATAAAAGAAAGAAAGAGGAAGAAAGGAAAGAAGGAAAAAATAAAAAATGGTTAAAATTCAAGGAAAAAGAAAGAAAAAAAAGACTGGAGATGGTAGAATCTAGGAATATATTTCAGGGATTGTTTTTAAGTTTTTGTCCATGTATTATGTTTGAAACCTTAGATCCACAATAATATTGAATTTCTTTGTTTGCCGAAGAAAATTGTGGTTTTCTCTATTTTCTATTTCCAACTGAAGTTAGGGAACCATGAAGTAGGATTATATACAGTAGTTCATAGAGATGGACACAGTCGTAGAGATGGACACAGTCGGGGTTTTCTGTCTTATGTTCATCGTGCGTGAACAACCCATTTTGTTCAGTTTTTATCAATCGTTAAAAATAAAATGTATTTCGTTCATTCTCAAAACTAACTTATTGCGTTCGTTTTCTAACTAAACGATCGTTCAGTAAAATCCTTTGCTCAGTAATATTGTTCGTTCAGTAAAATCTTCGTTCAAAAAATGGTTTGTTCGTTTTTAATAACAATTGTTTTTTCATTTCTTAAAAATTTAGTTTTTTAAACAACGCCCATCTGTGCGTGGTCATGCTGTATTAAATAAACCAGCAATTAAATCTAATAAACTGTTCGAAAACACAGAATACTTTATCTTCATCAGTTAGAAATACAGCACATATGGCCTTAAATTGTAAGCCATTGCAAGATCAGATAGATAAATCACACACATTTATTATGCATGAAATGTTTAGATTTTGGTTAGATTTATCATCTATTATAATTTTTAAAACAAAATTCTAAAATTCTCACTGTTTTGTATGAATTAGTAAAGTTAGTCAATTTACCAACTTAAACTGTGATTAAGAACATTAAAGTGGCTTTTGAAATTAGGTATTACAATGCTAATTCATAACAAAGACGATATCAAATTCGTCACTGAATTGGGACACCCTGTATTTGGGTGGGGGGTGGTATAAAAGGCCCCAGGGGGTTTGATCATGATTTGACAAAACAAGCACTTAGTTGAAAAATGTAAAATCACAAATAAACAAATTATGACTGACAGTAAAGCTACACTCTGAATTTTAAAATAAAAAACATCGCTTTTTGGCAGCACAGGTTGGATGGCTGACAATTCAGCCACAACAAATCTAATGTAATCAACAAAAATCACTTATTTTATATCGCAATTTAATAGAACATTAAGAAAATCGATTAACACTTTTATTAAACTGGGTCTGGTAAGGAATGCGGGAATATTTTAGCATTTATGCAAATTTATATGTGAAGCAAAAACGATACCTTATCGAATATTGGCAAAATGATTAATTGTTTTTTAGCTAGTGATTGAAAGAGGTTGGGAAGATAAAATTTGTTAAAGTTTTTGGAAAATTGAGAAACTAACGGATATGGAAGATTTGGAGAATGAGATATATTTGAAATATAAAACGTCTTAAGATGAAAAATGGGAGAATGATGAATGAAAAGAATAACTGGAAGATGATTTGGAGAATGAGATATATTTGAAATATAAAACGCCTTAAGATGAAAAATGGGAGAATGATGAATGAAAAAAATAATAGGAAGATGATTTGAAAATTTGGAAAATAATGCACGTCAAAGGAATTCAGTCTTTGCCACAAATCTCAATTTTCTAATACCTATATCTCTAATACCTTTGATATTTCAAACTTTGATTATTTGATCCATCAGAATTCAAAGTTCGAAATATTTAAGATCTACAACATAAAGGATTAAGAAATCAGTTTTGTGGCAATGACTCAATTCCTTTGGAGGATAAAGAATAGATCTGAAAAGGTGGCTTGAATTAAAAAGTTTTCAAACCAAACTTTAGTATCTATCTATATCTATCTATCTATCTATCTGGTCTTTAACTTTTCTTCCTTTTGTGGTAATTGAAGTAAACAATTTGTTGAGAAATATATTAGAAAATACGGATATGGAGGTCTAAATGGAAATGTAAAGTATCTATCTATCCATCTATCTATCTATCAATCTATCTATCTATCTATCTATCTATCTATCTATCTATCTATCTAT